CCCCTCCCCCCCTGCTCGGCAAGCCTGCACTGTATATATATTCATGGTTTTGTCATCAAGAATATTTATTATTCTCGATCTCCTGCTCAATTTCGATTTCCCTTTCACCATCAAATGGTAATATGCGATTTTTGAAACAAAGAACATGAAAACAATTACCACTAAGCACGAAAAGAAATTAAGAAAAACAGTGATATATGACAAACTTTTTCAATTAATTTAAAATAGTATTGGACGAGATATTGATACCTTACGAGTGTACTCAAACCATACAGTAATTTGTATTTCTGAGTTGTTCTATAGGACTTAACGGAAAGATTTATATTCAAACAAAAAAATGACTAAATGAATAGCACAGAAAATAGATATTTCATTATAAAAATCATTTGGAAATTTGTTGTTATTAAAACACTGAAGGAAAATAAAAAGTCAGGAACCAAGTATATCTATCTTACCTTTTCACACCAATTTTCATTTGATTTGATTAATGTGTCAATATCTGATCTCGATCGAAATTCAAGACCCATCCAGTTTTTGAAACTAACTGATAGTCGTTCAATATTTGGTATATGTTCGATAAGATGTTCAAGAAAAGACGGATACTTAAGACTAATGTATAAATAACGAAGTGTCCAACAACAGTATTGATTTATATTAGAAATTGAAGTTGAAGAAGGATGAGAACATGATGTAAAGCATTTATGAATATTAAGAGGATTATCATCGTCACCAATATCAAGTCGAAGTAATATTAACTGACATTTATCAGAAAAAAGTTGACTTATCAGCTTTTTAATCATAGTTATTAATTTTCCTAATTTATATCAATGAAAAAAAGATATTAAATAAAATCCCATTATTAATAAAATTATAGTCAATAGTCAAATAGATCATAAACCTTTTTCATTTCACTCACTTTCTCCTTAGAAAAACTATACGCGTAGAGTACTATTAAATGAGTAGTTGTCTAATTCGAGTTCGAATATAAATGGAGAAAAGAAAAGTTAAACTAAAACTAAATTTAGGAATACATTTAGTTTTACTTTCCGATAAATGCGACATATGAATACATATATACCCCTCACCCGCATCCACATTTGAGCAATCCTCCATGGTATCCATTACCAACAGTCACATTTGAAGTACCCTGGGTACCCCTCACACGCATCACCACCAACGGTTACCCCCCCTA